TGGATGCTGTACAGTAAAGAAAGGGCATGAATTGAGTTCTTATTTTTTCCTACTGGTATTCTTTTACCACCTACCACCCAAGTTTTGATAAAGGCAAGGCTAAGCAAATTGTTCCAGCAATTGCATACTCAGATGACTGTGTAACTGAAAACAATTTTGGCAGAGGAATACATGACATGGAGAAGACAACACAAAAGTTTAGATTCATAGATGATAGTTTCAATTCATTGCTGAAAAAGGAAAACATAAATAGGCTACCCATTAACACCGCTGGAGAATACAACTCAAGATGCAGATTCATTATCTAGGAATGGTCATGTTTTAATATTGTAATGGTTAATAAGGTAGTGCATAATAGAATGACTATGTGTGAGTACAATAACCTTAGAACCAGACGTAATCTTTTGAGCCAAACTTAATTAACTGATTTTCATTAAACTCCCTAAGACATTGTTTAAAACCTACTAATATTAGATTTTAAAATTAGGATTCTCCTGTAACTGTGTCATCCATATGGTGCCATAGTAGTTCCTTAAAGCAGGTTATTTTACACACTGATCATCAGACCGAAGATCTAACCAAGTTATTTAAAGATGAACTCCAGGCAGTTATAAAACTGCTACTTAATGTAGTTGTGTATTCCTTTTAGAAAAAATAATAATTACCTTTATTTTTACATACAATATAAGTACCTAAATCTGCCCTAAAATGAATTGAAACACTGTTAGTGCAACCACCATGTTTTTCTTTGACAAAACTGTTTTTCAATAGCCCAAATGCAGGCTACTGTTTTCCAGCACTACCCACATCTCACTGCACTGTGATGTGCAGTGGGGAACAGAAACTACACATGCCTTGATTTATCTCCCATTCTGCCAGCAGTGAAAGCATGTACCACTCTCCAAAACCCTCCCAGTGGTAAGTGGCTGTAGGTAGCATGGAGTGCCAGGCTGCTGTGGGAGGTATAAAGAGGTATTATCAGCAAGACAAGGTGGAGTGGTTATTAGAATTAGAAGGAGTACTGTGGTGACATGTTGACACATATTTCTGGAGTCCAGTGATCGACTGAAGATGCAAGGGTAACAACTTGAATTACCATTTCAATAGCATGTTGTCAGGATTTTTCCAGGTATGTTTTACTATAAAATCGCAATTACTCATAAAACCACAGAAAACACTGTACACATTATGACTAACTTCTCTTGGAGTTTTTCTCATTTAACCCATACATACACTTTTTTATCACTCTCCCTTGCACAAAAGTACCCAAACTAAGAGAGAATGAGGGACAGCAATAAGAGCTAAGCAAGCTTTGCTGCATGCACATGTGTTGACGGATGGAGCATGCTGATAGGAGAAGAAAGTAGGAAGCACATTTGATGACTTTATTTAATGCTTCTCCTTCTCTGTCCAATCAGCAGGCAGAAAAACAGCATCACTATATTCCATAACCAGCTATTTTGCTGGAGTTTAGCTTTAAAGTAAATGCTCAACATTAGAATATTACTCAAGGGGTATAGTAGACAGCCTTATATTCTAGGAATTTTGCCCTTGCCTTCATTCATACACTGCTGGAAATGATGTGAAGAGAATACTGCAACATTCAAGTGTGGCAATATATTATTAGCGGAAAGATGCTAAAATTAATTTTAAATTTTATGACTCTTTAAAATTAATCAGTATTCATGATTATCATTAACATCTAGAGTTACAAATTCTTAATGTACTCAGAAAGCTGTACAAAACAGAGAACATATGTAATAAAACAAATCAGAATCAATTAATTTTATTTGACTGTAAAAAGAAATAGCTAAACTGAAAAGTGATATGCAGATGTATCAATTAAATTAACACCCAATACATATTTTGGATAAGCAGCTCTTCCTTTAATTATTGATATGAATGAAAAAGGTTAAACAGATCAAAGCGACTCTGTACTTAAAATGAATGAAACTCCCAGCAAATATAAATACCTATCGTTAAAGTGGAACTAGGACCAAAGTAAAACATGACACATAACTGTATAATGCATTCTGTCATTAGCATTAACGCAGCTAGTTTTGTTTTTCTGAGTTCCCCTGTAAAATAATATCATCTGTCTAACCGTGATTTTGTTATTTTTACACCTTTAAAAGGGAGACAATGCTGTTCGATCATAGATAGTTTGTCCCAACCCATGTATTTGCTACTTTTGCAGGATAGCTTGGCATGTTATAGAAAGTGGAAAGTAATAGATCTACTCGCGGGATCAACAAGTAATACAACTATGCTACAGGGAAGACTCAGAAAAACAAAAACTACTGTGTTAATGCTATTGACAGATTGCATCATCTAAGTTTTGTGTTTTATTTTTAAGTCTAGATATGAATTAATTCACAAATCATGATATGTACTGTAAATACTGCCATTTTGATTACATTATACAATATACACTAATAAGCCCATTACCCCTGCACACCAGAAAAAAAGAGTGAAAGTGAGAGGTTCTGTTCTGAGAGTCAATAGGACTCTATTGCTTTGCACAATGCTGTAGTCCTAACATGTTGCAGGCACTGGTGGCTGGACAAGGAGGCATTTTGGCAGCATTACAGGAGAGGAGAGGGACCTAAGCAGTAGGATGTTGCTAATTCTTTGTCCAAGAGGTGGTTGCAGTAAGTTGTTACAAAAAAAACGCATAGTAGTCTCTGAATAGCTGTGTAGTCTCTGAATGCTACATAATGCAACAGGGGGTGGATAAATACCATGGGTTGGACCAGAATTGCACATATTGTGGCAGGTTGGGTTTCTCAACTAAGAATTTAGTTGCTTGGGTTATGTTTTAATTTGGGAATGAGCCAAGTTACAAAATGAGGATTGCAGTGCAATGAGAGTATATATACATGTTTAATCAGGTAATTTAGTAAGAAAATGAAAAAGAAATAATGAAACTGAAATTAAGCAACAGGGAAATAAATGTGGGACTGTCCAATGGTTTCCTTTTAGCTTTCCTTCTCAAAGTTCAGTATATTCAACTATACAATGCTGACTATTGGATCAATGGTATTGATTTAAAATAGGGTCATGTTTGAGGCAGAAAAGCCATTGTTGTAAGATAGATGGCACCATAATTTGCCATACTCTGATAATGACAAATTAACAATACTCCCTTCTATCTAAAAATCATTAGAGAAAAAAAAGCAATGTTCTCTAAAAACTGGTAAAATGTGTTCATTCTGGACATTATTATACAATTATTATATGGTCAACTTCCTGCAACGTAGCACTACCCTACCCGGTTTAGTTTCCTATAATTTAACTGCCTAAGGTACTTCATAATAAATGTTGATTTTTTTTTATCAAACACAATAATCCAAATAATAAATGAAATATCAGAAAATAACTTGAAATAATGACATTTATGATGTATACGTGATGCATCAGCTGAAGTGAAACCTGGAAAGGGCTGCAATGGCAGCTGCCTAGAGAATCTTGGGGGCACATGTTACACTATAGAAAAATAGAACATCATAGAAATACCTCTCAGATTATACCTATTACAGAATTAGTCATTCCTTGGTTAGTATATAATGCATACATGGCAAAGTAAAATCAAAATGACTGCTATCTGGTTAACCCTATAAATGGTCTGTAACATTTTGACACATCGAATTTCCAGGGTCAATTGATCTGCAACTTTTGTTTAGTAGAAATACACAGTGTGGGGAATTTATAAAAACTGGAGCAGATAGAATCTGGAGCAGTTGTGTATTGCAACCAAACAGCTTCCATCTTCAGTAAAATTTTTAAAATAAAAGAGAGAAGCTGATTGGTTACTATGCACAGCTGCTCTGGTTTTGATAAATCTCCCTCAGTGAGTCTTCCCTCTGCAAGGCAGCGTCAGCTTTCAGAAATGCTATATGGAGCACGTTTCTGAGTTGACCAAACTCCTCCGTGCTAATTTTTTTATGTTGTGTGAGGCAGAGGAAAGACAAGTTGCACTTGTTATTAACAATTGCCAAGTGTATAATAGTTTATTTAACTTTATCAGTAATCTGAAAGGGAAAGCAATACCCAAATTACCAGTTAGTGAACTACCAGTTAGGCCCCATTGACACCGAGCGAGCGTTTGTTGCGCGATTTGCATTTTGAGCGATGCCGCGCGCGATATCGCGCAAATGCTTGCATTGAAAAGACTAGAATCGCGGCAAATCCGCTCCAAAAAGGGTCCTGCTGTAGCGACTCATGACCCGCGACAGCAACAGACAGAGCCTCATTGAGATGTATTGGAGAACGATATCGTGCGGATTACCGCGCAATAAATCGCTTAATGTGAACGGGGCCTTATACAGGCCTTGAATGCTCCTAAAAAGGCAAGATATGATGCCAATGCAAGTATTGTTTTTGATATGCTGGCCATGTAAAGGTTTATTAACATATACCTCCAGTCATTGGAAGCAATCATGCCAAAAAAGGGATTTTCCAAGATTTTTTGAAAATCCTTTTACTACTCACATGTGCACAGCATCCACCCAGCCAAATCAGAAATAAGACTGTTGTAGTTTCAACGATGATAGGATATCTCATTGCATGTTCTCAGAAGATAACAAACAATCCAGTATTATTTGGGCAGATAAAAACACTGATACGACACATACAAGCTTGTCCTGTCAGCATCAGGAACTCCCAAACGTTACCCCTATTCTGACTTTTAACTTACAGTTCACTGCACATAATGAAGGTACTGGATCTCATTACAGATTCCTTTGAAGAATAGTTTGGGGCCATGATTTGTAGTTGTCTTGCAATAGAACAAAGGAACCACCAAAAATTGAAAACACAATTTAAAAACTGTATTGTAATTAAAATATACAATTACACATAGTAGAGACATACATACAGTATTTTGGCTTACTCAGTATCGAATCTATATGTCTATCATGTTTGTCATACTTGAATAACACCAACAGACCCATGTCTACATTTAACAGACCTTTGTTGGAGCCACACGGTGTCTGTTTTCTATGCCATCGGAAGTTGATGCCATATAAACTTTGTACAGGGTTACATTCTGTATGAGCTGCCTCATTTAAAACTTGTTTAACAACAAATCTCATTTTCTGTGAAGCAAGGTAGAGTTTTATGACGTAAAAATAAAATGTATACATTTATATTAAAATACATTATTGTACACAAGTGATAGTATTTGGTGCAATGTTGTGTATTAACCAAATAAAAAAAGTTGCACCAAGATGGGTACATTTTCCAACACTGCATTGTATTTGTCTTTATCAGTGTCAAACATGAAGATGGCACAAATTTATGACAGCCGCATAACTACACTTCAACGCCTCAGTGTACCGAAATCCCAAATCACATAATACCGTAGCTCTACAACTTCTATCTGAAACAACATAATCAACTCACAGGGAAAAATTGATATGTTTGCTATTATTTACTACCCTAGTTAATAACTTTTGACTATTGTTGGTGTATAATATATATTACCCTCTTTGGTTACTTTGTTTTCTGGGTTGGCAGCTTGGTTCGGTGGAATACTTGAGAATGTTGAGAAAGGTGATAGTAAGGACTCACTGAACTGAATAAGGACATATGGTTAATTTAAGTGTTTACAGAATGGCATTGCTGTGAGATAAGATTTCCTTTTCAGTTTAAAGGTTCGTGCTAAGTATCTTGTGCAGAGGAAGGGAACGTAGGTCACTGGGGATGTTATTAGTTCCCTTTCCTCTGCTGTATCTTGTACATTGGCATCAGTTCTGAAGCAGTAATCTTCATTATTCAGCCACAGTAAAAGACCCATTAGCTGTCTGATTCAGACATATCATAAAGTTTGCGCCTGTTGCAAACTCCTCATAGGCACAGCATTAAAGTATGAGTTCCACTGAGCAGTTTGGCAGAATGCATGGGTGTGTTAGGTGTGCTGTGTACAACAAGACAGAACTGATCCTCCTTCCACCTCCAAAGCGAACACTTCCATGGACAAAGTAGAAAGGAGAGGAACAATTTTTTTTTTCTTTTATTGCCATGCTCAAAAGGGCCACAAAGTCTTTGTGGCATTTTAAAGTCTGCTGAAGACAAATTAACTTGGCATTTCCCCTCTAAGTTTTGTTTGTAAACAAGAGACTTCTGGCTGTAGAGCACAAGTTTGGTTTGATGCCCTGGACCTCTTTGTAAGTCAGAATGGCTGAAGGGCATGAATAGTTGTTTAGGGGTAGATTTCTGGACTTTGCACACATTCATTTTTTTAACCTATGGGAACACCGGTGTTAATCCAGTATTGCAGGTCATGTTATCCTTTCCTGGAAGTCTCCTGTCGTTGAACGTGTGCATGTTAATTACTGCGTCACTCTTGACCATGACAGGTGGCTGTGACTTGTGTTTGACACGCCTCTGGCAGGTAAGGGATAGTCGAATCTCATCTGCCATTGTGCTGCAGAAAGAACGCTAAAAAAGAAATAGAATACAGTAAATGAGCTGAAATGGCATAAAATGTTGTTATGAAGTGAGACACTTGCTTTATTTAGACTATGTGGCAATATAATGGTAAAGGCATGCATTTAAATAAGTAGTTAAAGTAACCACTAAAATTAATATTACAGAGTGTTAGAAGTGCTTTTGTTCGCAGGGATTTTCCAACATATTGGAAAAAACGTTTTTAGGATCAGGGACTGCTCCAGTCTAAGTAAAGACTATAACTGCTTTTGCTGGTGACAAATTGTCACCTAGATATAACAGTACATAAGAACTATGCCTAATCCGTCAACACACATTAGTAAACATGTCAGACTGTGTGTTATGATTATAAAGTACCTTCTGAATTCCCCTTTGACATGTACAGTATACATAGCAGCGGAGCCTCTTGGGTCTTTTGCCTTGGCTGTATACAGTGCATTTACTTCTTTCCAAGTAACTATTAAGCAAAACCAGTCCCATGATAAGCCCTACTCCTTGCTCTTTAACTGACCAATGCCAGAGCCTCTACGGTCCACTGAGGTTTTTGGCATTTTCCAGTTCAAAAACTTGAGGCTTAGCACTGTCAAGGGAAAGGACTGAAAAAAGAAACAGACCCATTGTTTTTTTAATTGTAATGAAAGTGATGACATCAAAATACATTTTTAGATCATATTCTGTGCAATTTATCATTGTTGCTGCTTAATTATGTTTATTTATTATTATTTTTGCTTTTGGCTCTTTTCAGAAAAAGGGTCTACATGCATGCAATGTAACAGTATAACAGGGACCTTATTAGAGAGCCTTATACATTAGGATTCTTTCTCATTCAGACACATTAGAATTAGGACATTTGGATGCATCCGAATTTAACAAAATTGGTACGAATGTCCATTTGGAAAGAAATTAAATGTATATGTCTAGTATATGCATTGTGCATCATATTGGCATTCTGCGTGTTAAGTGTACAGGAAAACTGACCTGCTCTCGCTCTGCTGTCTTTCTTAGTTTGTATATAAATTCTGCCACTGCCACAACTACAGAGAGGATGAGTCCCGCTGCTAACACAATGAAAATGCCTCCCATGTTTTGGATGCCTAGGGCACTGGCCTCCTTATTTTTTTCCACTGGGCAACCTCCGGCTCTCCACCACCTTTCTTTCATCTTGTGAATTTCATCAGCCTCCTGCAGTTGAAGAATTGCAATGCTGATCCTGTCTCGATATGGAGAACCTAAAGAGAACAATCATAATATGAGTTTTGAACCCACACAACAGGACTATGACTTATAAAAGAAGAATTATGTAAGTATTATGTAAGTATTATGGTCACAGGGGGCACAACCATAATAGATCCTGACCACAGGTGGATTTATTATAAATCCTAACATCTCACCCACTGTTGAGATTTAGTGCAATACCTTTATTACATCGATTTTGCATATCTAAGAAAATACTGTAATACATGAAATCCTACTTTTAAGGTTAAGCATAGTTTAATACATATATATTATTTTAATCCTCATGACACTGTCCTTTCTCTATTTGTTTTGAGAGCTGCCATCAGAGGCCCAGGCCAGTTTACCCACTGCTTTCTTTGCATTGAGCTTTCTTGTATTTGCAGACAAGAAAGGAGTACAAAAACACATCTACACTGCATACAGTTTGATTTAGTGGGTTGATTTACTAAAGGCAAATAGGCTGTTCAATTTGCAAACAAATCTCCACTTTGTATGGAAATTTCCCTTAGTTTAGTGACTGAAGTGAAGCTCTTCTGACTTCCATGATCCAATCATGTGCAAGAAAAAATACAATGTTTTACTTTTCTTTACGTGTGATTGTGTATTCTTTGCAAAGTGACTTTTCACCACATTCACTAAGCTAAGGGAAAATTCTCTTGCAAAGTGAACATTTCTTTGAAAAGTGAACAGCCTAATTGTCTTTAGTAAATCAACCCCACTGTGTTTAGTGCAAGGGTTGCCTTTGTGCAATACACATTACTATGCAACATAGAGCATGTTAGGGTGCATGTGTTAAATTCACCTCAATGGATCCAGCCAGTGTGAAAGGGTCCTCAATGCCAAAAGCATTTAAGGTCTGGCTGCAAGAGTTTAGCTACAGCAAGGATAACAAATAGCCTGCAGACTAAGGGTAAGGGTCCATTCATATCATCTGTGTTGGGGCTGCGCTGCAAAACAACAGCCAGTGCAAGACAAGGCAATTTTCCTTGTCACAGATGGTGCCTATTTACACCACCACTTTGTGGTAGGAATGCCTTGCACCACACTGTGCCTGTAGAACTTAATGAAATGCATCCGTTCTAACAAAACAAAAAAAAGAACACAGTGCAATGCACTGGGATCAGCTCTTTCGCACTATGCCTGGACACCGCACACCAGACGCTGTGTGGTTAGCATCGCGCCTAGTGGGAATGTGCCCTAACCGAAAGAAAGGCACCAGGAAACCCTTTAGGTTTGCATTTGGCCTTCACAGTTAGCTAAAATCTAAAAATCACATGGAATGGGCCAAGGGATGCTCTTAGCTAAACATGCAGGGTCTGCCTGCTTCTAAAAGTTAGCAAAATATTTTTTCAGGGAATACATAATTAATATTTATACATTTTTAGTTATGACTCCTTGCATTAAAGGCATTCAATCAGCATTAAAATACTATGGGGTCTATTCACGAAGCAACCGAAGGATCTAGCCGTAGCTTCGGCCGATCCTTCGGCTAGCTTCGGCCCCAGGAACCCTTCGGTTCAGTAGAACCAAAGGGGTGCTGTATGGGCTATTCACAATAGCCTGTACAGCTCCTGATCATGGCCGAATGGCTCAGTCGAGCCGAAGGCATATGCCTCGGCTTGGCTGAGCAGCGCTAAAAGCCGGAGCTGGCCGGCCGACAGCCTGCTTCTGACAGCTGGGCAGAGCCAGCCGTGATCTTACGCCTGGCTCCGTCCACTTGCAGAGAGATCCGCATTCCTGGTTACCAGCTAACCAGGGACACTGATCTCCAGGCAGCCTAACTCTCCCGGGTGCTCCGGGAGTCTCCCGCTCCCGGCTGCCAAGGAGAGAAACACTGTTTTTTCTTTTTTTTTATTCTGACACGGAGCTGTGTCAGAATAGAAAAAAAATAAATACATTTTTGGCCATAGGAATGCATTTCTAGATTCCTATTGGCTATTTCAATTTGCAATAGCCAATAGCAAATTAGCATTGCACTCGCCCTCTGCTGCAGTTCTCCATCAGGTCCACCACTACTGATTGACAGCAGCAGAGGGCGGATACTGGGGTTGCACAGATACCAAGTACAGTACTCGGTACAAGTACGAGTACATGCACCGATACTTTTGAGCTCCAAGACTAGACTAGAGAAAAATTCAAAAATTAGGAGGCAGCTGTCATGTGTAAGGAGCACACGGAGCTCCTGGGATTTCTACATCTCTGTTTTAATGTACAATTTTGTTTTTATAAATATAAATATAAATAAGGGATGCACAGATACCAGTTTTGCGAGTACAAGTACTGGTACTTGCCGAGTACTTACAAGTATGAGTACTGATGCATTTTTGTTAATTGCCATGTGAAAGTTTTTCTAAAACAATACAGACTAATGATTTCAGGACAGTGGTGGAGCGCCAGAGCCAGGTCCCAGCTGCAACCACTGCAACCCTGGTAGTTCTCATGAAAATGCCAAGTATCGGCACTGGTACTCGAAAAGTATCTGTGCATCCCTAGCGGGTACAATAGCTAGTTTGCTTTTGGATATTGCAAATTGAAATAGCCAATAGGAATCTAGCAATGCATTCCTATGGCCAACATTTTTTTTTCTCCTTGTCAAAATAAAGAAAAAAAAAGAAAAAGCAGTGTTTCTCTCCTTGGCGGCCAGGAGCGGGAGACTCCCAGAGCGCACGGGAGAGATTTTTTTTCTTTTTTTGACAGCAGCAGAACCGCCGGCCAATAGAAAACAGTTGGGCGGAGCTAGCTGTCACTGCTAGCTCTGCACAATCGTTTTCTATTTATTTTTTTCTACTTTTTAAACTATTTTTCTGTTCTGCTCAGTACCACAGAGGGACTGTGGCAGAACAACCGAGCCGAATGCCGCTCAGCGGCATTCGGCTATTCACTCACTGCTGTTCGGTATCTATTAGAATAGACCGAACAGCAGCGAGTAGCCTGCCGGAGGTTCGGCTTAGCCGATCCACATGTTGGATCGGCTGAGTCAAACTCCTTCTGCACTTCAGGTCGGCCGAACATGCTGAGCATGTTTGGCCGACCCGAAGCCACCCGATGTACGGTTGATTTCAGCCGATATACGGCTGAAATCAGCTGTACCAGCCTGAAGTGAATAGCCGAACAGCGTTCGGCTCACTTCGCTTTAGGTCGGTCATTCACTCGCTGCCTACAGCAGCTTAGTGAATAGACCCCTATGACCTATTAGTGGGGGCAGGCAGAGGAAACAATGCTGGCAGGAGGGATCTCTCTGGAGGATTACAAGAATGACCAATACAAGCTCTAACTCTGTTCCACTATTGCCAGAATGCACTTATTTCAGACTGTATCTGTCCCACTCTGCCTGAGTTCAGCATATGTTGCAGTAATCTAGTGTAACGATCGCGGCTGCGCTCCTCGATGGAACGCAACCGCAAGGCGGAAGTAAGCCGCCGATGCGTTCCAGCGTGGAACGCATCGGCTCTCTGACGTAGGTAGCTCCGCCCATGCTCCGTCCCCATAAAATGCCGGAAGAGAGATCAGTATGGCGTTCCACTATTGCGAGTGCAACGCCAGCTGATCCCTGGAACTGAGCCAGACGTTTTGTGAGCCACAGGGACCCCCACTTACCCGGACGTCTAACCGAGGATCCCCACTTAGTTGGACAGCTAACAGCAAGTATTGCTAGTCTAGGACTGCTCGTCCTTGGCTAGCAGCTCAGTAGAGACATTGTATTGAGAGTACTGAATTGCTTAATGGACTTCCGCTTATAGACTTGTGTCTCAGCATTTAAAGGGGAACTGTTACTATTTTTTCTGCTTGATACCTGATCATTGGAACTGACTTATTGTTTTGATCTCTCTCACCAAACGTGCACCCAGTTATGCTGTAATAACCTGGGGCAACGCACGTGACGCCTACACTAAATACCTGCGGCATATGATGGTAGAGCTCCAAACTCTCAGTTAAATTGGAGAGTGACGCCTGGAGCTTGACCCTGAAACCGTACCCTCTCACAGCCCTCCCCTGACTTCAGCTACTCCGCAGCTGAGATTCATACAAAGCGACCCAGTCATTACATCTAGTCAGAATTCACCTGCTCTAAATTTAGTAAACCAAAACTGATTGGTTGCTTTGGGTATTATACTTTACACATCATTCTATTTGCACTTCTCTACTGAATAAGCCCTACAGCATTTAATTTTGAATAAAGGACATTTATATTTTTTTGCACATGTTAACCCTTCATGCTATATTGTAAATTTTATATATTATATTTTTAAATATAACACAGAGATACAGAGGCAAGTCCTGTCATACATGCCATGCTGCTTAGCTTTGAAAATCCAGACTTACATACCTGAAGCAAAATAATGATTCCTCTTTAATATGCTAGCAACAACAAGTGTTTCCCTAAACTTCATAAAACCATCTTACCCATGGGTGTTCCAATTCCATAACCCTTTGAATCGATGAGTCCTCCAATCTGAGTCAGATTGCAGTTCCTCTGAGTTATATATTCAATAGCTGTTGATTCCATTAGCAGAGCGTAGTCAGATGAGAGAACTCGCTGGATGCCTTCCTCGTTACTTTTAACGAGCGATGATGACTTGCTGCTCATGAACGCCCACATCTTCTCAAAGGTCGAGATGTGAGATTTCTGCAGAGTAAACAAACAAGAGTGGGGTGTTGGGATTCATACTGTGTATCAGACAAGCATGCTTTGTCTCTCAAAAGAATAAAAAGATAAAGAGAGTAAATTAGCACAAGCCATTATAAAATTCACTTTTTTCTTCAACTGTGACTCCTCCAGGGCATTTTGAAATGGAGAAGGGAAACTGATGACTAACAATGATAGCACAGCTAGCCCTAAGTGCCTATGTTTAGCAGCCTTAATATCACACATGCTTGATCATTAGCAATTCATTATACTTAAAACCTTCATTTTGATAACATGCTTCTTTTTTAGGAATTAGTCTCAAAAGCATAGTACTTTGAAATCCTGCATTACTAAGCAAATACATTTAATAAACACAACAAAATAAAGGAAGTAGTGTAACTGAAAAATATGACTGTGTTGGAGTTTTTTTATCGGCTATCATGGAAAACGTTGAAACACAGACAAAATAGTATTCAACAGGTGCATTCTGTTTGGAATAAACTCTAGTGGCTACCCTCCACTGCTTTGCATTGTAACAGGCAGTGTTCTACAGTCTGTGTATACTAATGATGTTATAATCATAGTGATTACTGCTCATCTGTATGTAGATTTCACCTTATTTAACTGAAGGTTGTAGAATTTGGGATACAAATGTCAAAGACTCCCACAGTGGGCTGCACCTAGTTGCACAGCAACATGTCCTGCTAATCTGATAAATGCATCTTCTTTTGAATGTACAGTACAATAATGACATTGCACCTGTTTTCCCACATGGAATTTCTCCCACTATACATTCGTTTTGCACCTCCAGAGTTATATAATTCCAAGCTCAAATGAACCTGCTAATTCTCATCATATTCCGGGATTGCCTAATTTCCTTTACCAGCCTGTTGATTTAGCACTGAACCTGGGATTACCAGGAAAAAACTATCAATTTAGTAAATTCTATGTCCAGTTTTGAAGTCCCTGATTAGAGTAGAACCCTACTTGCAGACATAGCTTGATAAAATTTGTTAATATGTTTTTAGCAGGTTAAAAATAAACTCCTTTGCAAGCTGGCAAAACTCAGAGGTATGGAATTTGATTTATGCATTTAGAGAATTGGTTCTCCCATTTAACTGATGCATTTGGTCATAAAGGATCTATGTAATTTCCACAAGCATTGCGTAAAGTCTAACCTGTGCTGGATGGCCACTGGTCAATGAAAATGCTGTGCACACTACTGTTTCATATCTTTATAACTGATTGAGGTAAGTGTAAAAGGGTAGTTCTTGAAAATGTTGATGATTATGCCAAGAAGAGCTGACAAATTAACCAATGTATTTCCCACTTTACATTGGCATATTACATAGTACACATTACACATTTTATGAAGTATAAAATACATGTTTACCCTTTACATTATCCCTTAAAATGTAATTTCCCTAGCACAGTTATTTTATTATATTATATGTTCAATGTATGCAGTAACGGAAACGGAGTATTCAGAGAAAAAAACACACAATCAGAGGGAGAACATATAAACTTCACACAGATGAAGTATTATTTCTTGTTTCAACACAATATTGAAAGCTACTGTGCTGTAGTGTGGCCAACGTTTTGTTCTTCAAAAGTTAAAAGTTCTACGTACCACATTTATTTACAGACTTGAACCAGAACAAGTCAGCACACTGCTAGAAAGTCAACTGTTTGTACTGCAACAGTTATAGTACTTATTGGCAGGATGGAACAGTGGATTATTTGTTTCAAACCTCTGTTCACTCATAACAGTTATATCTCTGTTCTGTATTACTGTAAAAAAAAGTAGCTAAAGCATTGATGATTTCAAAACCCTTAAATTGAACAGTGAGCTTTGGTGCAGAATCCCCTAACCAGTAACTCATGCAGTAACTTGGTCACCCCACTTGCACAGTATACAAGTCACTATATTTGTTGTTTTATAAAATTCTTTGCACACACATAACCCTGGCATTAAGTATCTATGATTTTGCCTCAAGCAAGAACAGCTATCTGGTGACTAGCAAACCAGTAAGGGTTTCTGCATTTTGCATTATTAACATGAACAATCACATGTGAAAGAACATGTGTACTATTTCTAGGAAGCAGTGTAGTCAGATATAATATGCCCATGTGAGAATTAAACTAAAGATGCTCTCTGTTAATTTTACTTGCTCAAGCATAAAAGTCAAAAAAGGAAATAATTAATTTGTTTCTATGGTCAGACTATTCTAAATGCTATGAAAGAGAGACACCTCTAAACAGTAGGAGCAACAAAATTGAGGACAAAAAGTCCCAGGAGAGATCCAACTGAGTGTAGTATTTTATAGTGCAAAGCTATAGATACGTTTTAAATAAATGTATAAGAAAGAGTGGTGTGATACTCGCATAGATAGGTTGCGAGAAATTTGGGGATATTGGGCAACCTAAGGTGCAAAAAGAAATATTTCTGTCCCCACGCAGGATGGTTGCTCTCAATGCTTCTCGAGGTGGAGTTCGGAAGAACCAAAGCTTGGCAGCTAGGAGGGACCCGATGTGTACTAGATGAGACAAGGATGCCCCCAAAAAAGTAGGTGCAAGACAGAAGAGGGGCCCAGGTGGAACAGATGAAATAATCATGTTTCTTCAATTTAGACTTCTGTTCCATGAAACACACACATAACTATCACAGTCTCAACACGTTTTGTGGCTCTAAGATGGACACTTCTTCATAAGGGTGTGATGAGGCACTTTAAGCTGAGTGGTTGTGTCTCCCGGCATGTGTATTCTAAATGCTATAATTGTTACCTTTTCTACATTGAAATAGTAAGGATAAATGCTTTTTACCTTAGTTACAAGAAATGCTACTACTTTTTAAGCCACTTTTATTATTAATATAGCAAAAGGGTATTTTTTTGTTGAACAGGGAGAAAAACTCAAGTGCACGTCAGTTAAAGCAAAACTCCAAGCAAATCAAATCTTTAGCGAGGCTACCCCTGTACTGCAAGGGTTAAGTACTCGTTTTATTTAGGGAGCTATAATAACAAAGTTATACTCAGCCTAACCACAATCCCAGCTTTCTCTTAGACCAGGCCCCTCAGCCTCGCTCCTCCTCTGCTCCAGCAGTCTAATATCCTGTGAGTCATCACGTTACATACAGTGTATAAAACCTGAGGATGCTGAGGGACATACCATCCCTTACCATCCCTGAGGGACATACCATACCATCCCCCCATCCACCAGCAGAGGAGGAGACAGGCTGGACGGAGCGGTATAGGAGCTAGCCGGGAATGTGGTTGTATTCTGTATTGGTGGAATGGGACTATGGTCACACCTGTGATTTTAGTATGGTCATGTTCTGACTTGTGTACCACCAATTTTCTTTAAAATAAGATGTATGCTATGCTATGTCTCTTTTCATCCCTGCTGTACTCTTTACTGCCACGTTTGGCCTATTATGTCTATTTTTCATGTTTATGCTGAATAAACTATGATTCACACCGAGGTCACACCGAGCAGGCAGAGCAAGTACAAAAGGAGAAGGCGTAGGCAGTCCAGTGAAGCCAATCCAAGGTCAAGGGTATAGGCAAACAAGAATGGTCAAACATTCTGAGGTCAAAGGCAGGCTGCAGGCAAACAAGGTCAAAGTCAATCCGGGTCGATAATCAATGGTACTGGAATCAAGGATCAGGAGACGTCAGGGCGGTTGAAGAGACAATCCAGCAATGAGTAGGTGTGGAGTCTGGGTTTAAATAGTGAAGGAAATGATTTAGATAGCATCACTTCCTGTGAGCCTTTTGGAGAGTGTCACTTCCTGTGAGCCTTTTGGATAGCATCACTTCCTGTGAGCCTTTTGGATAGCATCACTTCCTTTGAGCCTTTTGGAGAGTGTCACTTCCTGTGAGCCTTTTGGAGAGTGTCACTTCCTGTGAGCCTTTTGGATAGCATCACTTCCTGTGAGTCTTTTGGATAGCATCACTTCCTGTGAGTCTTTTGGAGAGCGTTCTTCCGCGGACAGTCCTTGGCGCGCGCATGCGCACAGGCCCATTACGGGAACCCCAAATTGGCGCATGCGCAGAAGCAGCAGGTCTCTGACACATTCACAATAAGTACATTTACAGAGATTGGGACAGACAGGACTGCTACATCTCTGGTCCCAATAACTCAAGTAATCCAAGATATATGGGTCTATTCACTAAGCTGCCGAGGGGAGCCGAGTAAACAACCAACCCCAAGTGAAGTGAGCCGAACACTGTTCGGCTATTCACTTCAGGCTTGTATAGCTGATTTCAGCCGTATCTGGTTTTGCTGTTTGGAGATCAGTTTCCCTGGTTAGCAGGTAACCAAGGACGCCGATCTCTCTGCAAGTGGCCGGAGCCAGACGTAAGATCACGGTTGGCTACGCCCAGCTGTCAGAAGCAGGCTGTCAGCCGGCCAATGGCATATGCGTTCGGCTCGACTGAGCTGCTCGCCCATGTTCGGGAGTTGTACGGGCTATTGTGAATAGCCCGTACAGCACCCCTTTGGTTCTACTGAACCGAAGGGGTCCTGGGGCTGAAGCTAGCCGAAGGATCGGCCGAAGCTACGGCTAGATCCTTCGGCAGCTTCGTGAATAGACCCCATATAGTGGTCTAACCTGAACAATGGAGTGTTGTTTTAACTGGAACACAGATGTGTTACTACTGCTAATTGCAGGACCATCGCATAGAGAACACCAGTATTCTTAATGAATAGCTGTTAATTGTAGAAAAATCTTTCAATTCAAGTGAAAAATTAGTTCTAGTATATAGTGTATAATGGTTGAATAAAGACACAGGTCCATCAAGTTTAACCTTTGTGTGTCTGGGTGTGTGTGTGTGTGTGTGTGTGTGTGCGTGTGTATGTGAGTCCCTGTGTGGTCTAGTTTGTAAGAATACCTTTACCCCTGTAAGTTATTGTCTCTGAGGAAGGAATCTACTGTAAATTATTTTTGAATGAGTCAATACTCTCTTCTGATACCACTGCTTATGGAAGAGAGTTCCAAA